GTTCTTGTCTGCTGGTATCTGCTCAGTAGCCTGAGAACTGTTGAATGATGGCATTGAAACCGTTGTGCAACGACTCTACTTGACGTACCAACTCGAAGCATGCCCAAGGTACGTTCACGTTCCTCTGCTGTTAACCTTGGCATTTCTTGTATCAGTACCCTTTACGGTACAAATGATGTGGCTTTTAAAAGTCTGTCTTTTATAGCCCTATTCTGCATGCTTCCCAGTGAAACAAAACACGTTTTCCAAGATGTGCACGCAATTTGTTGTGTTTGGGCGATTTCGCTCACAAAAAATTAGGAATGTGTTTTGACGAGCTGTTCTTCTTCATGCTTCGTCCAGAACGTCGTATATTACTCATTCACTTATATTTTTTCATATGACTAAAGCCCGGATAAAAATACATCCATTTTCATTGTGGGGCGTTTTCAATGCTGTTCAGTATATTATCTGCTATATGATTGAGCCAATAGATCCATCTACAGAGAGAGCTGTATTTCATTTATCGTGTTGCATAATGATTCCAGACTGCAATGTGATTACTACTTGTATAGTTATACAAAAACTTTAAATCTCATTATGCATATATCATTGATGTAGACTGAGACGTGAAAACCGAATTATGCCAATTATAGACTTCGGAGAATAAGTAATAACATTATGATTGTAATGATGATGTGTTAGCATATTTTCCGAAATGTAATCATAATATTTACAAAATGGTTTTTTATCTAAAATATGTACAGAGGCATTTTGTCACCATGTGTACTAATTGTCGGGAATATTAGTTGACTTTAACTTGTTTAATTTCTGTGACTGTAGGTGCATAGCTATAGAGGCTTTACACTGACTGCTTTGAACCATTCTGATACAATAGATGCTCCCTTGAGTATTTGTTTTTACTGCGAGCAAGTGACCCAGGATGGTCAGAGAGTTTGAGAAGTGCGGAAATTCAGCTGTTGAGAAGTATTACATGGTCGAGATCCACTCTTCAGGTACAGAAGACATGAATATGAGATAATATTAAGATTTATGGGAATTTTCAAAGGCGGTTGTCAGTCAATTTCTTAATTTAATGGAAAGTTGAATTATTTAGCCATGTGAGATAGCGTTTCCTATTTTAACAGTGTTATTGAAATTATTAATTGTTTTAGAAACAAAATACTGCCCACATGGTCAGTGTAAATGCTTTATGTTCATATTTTTGGGTAAACATGACATTTTCAAAGTTGCACGTAGCAAGGGAGCAGTCATTGTATTACAGTGTAAGGTATCATGCTATTGATGTGTTGCGATTTTATTATGCTGTTTTTTTATAAAAGTCTACTTCAGCACGTTTAATTACATGTATTGTCATGACAGTGAATGGTGGATACATTCAATTACATTCTATCATTCTGTAATTTTTAGAAACCTGGAAAAGTAAATCCCATGTTAGAAGAAATCTAGGCTTTGTGATCTCTGTATGATTCTTTCTAATAATGCCTACCAGTAACAGACAAGCTGACTTCGTTCGGAAAAATTTAAATTTTGCTTATGTTTTGTTTCAACGACAAAGATTTTTATGAGGACTGGTACTAACTATATTTGCCGCTCCACAGGGACTGGTAGTCACATGAATTACCGGTCCAAGCCTAATTGGTCCAAGTAAAAAACTAGTAATTACCGGTAAATGGGAACACTGATATGGTTCTTAGAGCATACAGATTTAATCTGTCCAGTACCAGATCTTGATTTTTTAGAACAATTATTCCCATTTTTGCTATACTGAACACCCAAAGTTCCTGTGACATTGAATAAGATTTAATGCAAAGTTTTGTTTTTTTACAACAGATAAAGACTCCTGTAAGTGTTCAAATGGTTTAATTTGCCATACTGACTTTAGAAAATGCGTGATTTCATAAAAAACATGAACATGCCAAAATGTCAATTTACAAATCAATAGCGCGTTTGTCCACCTCTGGTTGCGATGCAAGCAACACATCTTCATCTATATCTGATGGCACCTGTTTCGCGGTTCCTGGAGTGTCTGTGGAACACGTGGTTGACGTCTAATACTCTGTTTATACGGCAAAAAATTGCATATATGCAAATTTGCACACATATGCAAATTTACATACGTGAGCAAAAGTATATTTGCTGTGCATTCATACGAAGTATAAGTCCCATAAGCAGATTTGGAGTAAATTGTCAAAACCATCCATTTCTGTCATAGCTATGGAAAAGATCAGACTGGAATGTTTCCTGGAATGGTTGTTCTGCAGCACTTTGAAGAGACAGACTGGCTAGAAAACTTCAGAATGAGAAAGGAAACATTGGATTTCATTTGCAGAAGACTTGAAGGTGAACGCTCTCCTTCCCAAGACACTGTTGAAGAACCATTGGGTGTCCTAAAGAAGGTAGCAATTGCCATTTACTGGCTTGCAGCATACAGAGTCGGTAATCTCTTTGGTGTTGACAGCAAATGACAGCATAGGTGTTGATGATGACCTTGTGCCCCATCTGAGCATTGTGTATCGCAATCATGTCCATGGCGTCCCGGGCTTCAGTCAGCGAGGACCACGATGCCCGCGTGTTTGCCAATTCCGATATTTTCATTCAAGGTGATAATGGCATTCTTTTCCCCACATGGAACAAGAAGGTTGGTGATTCCAATATGCCAGTGGTACTACTTTGTGATGCGGCCTACCCATTAAAGACTTGGCTTTTAAAGCCTTTCTCCAACAGAGCCAATCTAACTCCTGCTCAAGCCACATTCAACTATTGCCTCAGCAGGGCAAGGATGACGGCAGAGAATGCCTTCAGTCGTTTGAAGGGACGGTGGAGATGCTTACAAAAGCGATTGGACATTTCACGGTGATTGGCTGTTGCATTGTCTTGCATAACATGTGAGAGTGTCAATGAAACCTTCAGGGATGAGTGGAATTAAGACACAGATGATGACACAGATGATGGACAAGTGGGCATACAGGATGGAGGTGATGAACCTGTCCGTTGTGCAAAGACCCTTAGGGATTAAGTTGTTCTTCAAAACAATTCTCTTCCCTTAATCCTAAAAGACATCTCGTTTCATCGTCGCTCCATGCAGATCCACATTTTGGGCCCTCATTTGTTCTTTTTCTGCTAGCCATTTTTGATGGTCTGGTCTGTTTGAAGTCTGGACATCAACTGGTATCATTCTGACCAATGAGGATTAAGCGTTGCCAATTTGAATATCTAAACTGCATATACTCACAGGTAGTAGCAAATTTGCACCTAGTCCAAACTAGGTGCAGATTTACTCATATGAGTAAAATCTGCACATGAGTAAATGCGTCCATACGGTCAAATTTGCTCACATAAGCAAATTTGCACATATGCAAAAAATACACACGTGTGCAAATGCCGCCATATAAACAGGGCTTAAGGCGCCGATCCACCTAATTCCACATGTGCTCGATTTGTGAGAGATCAGGGGAGCAAGCCGGCCAGGGCATGACATTCACATTGTTTAGTTGAATGGAGCCTGAACAAGTCGAGCAATAATGAGGCTGGGCGTTGTCATGTTGAAAGGTAATGCCTGGGCCATGATGACGCAAAAACGGTAGAACAACAGGGCTGATGATCTCGTCGCGGTAGCGCTGTCCATTGAGATTTCCCTCTACCACTATCAAACGGGTCCTCTCTCTTGCTGTAAACCCACCCCATACCATAACGCTGCTGCCCCCGAACCGATCTTCTTCCATGACACAATGATTGACGTAACTTTCACCTCGACGTCGGTACTCTCGAATCCGTCCATCACTGTGGCTGAGGTGAAAATGAGACTCGTGAGTGAATAGAACGTGTCCCCACTGCATGGCCATCCAGCGTTGACGCTGTCTGCACCACTGTAGACGTGCTTGATGGTAGTTTTCTGTCCAAATGGGACGTCTGGCGACAATCCCTGCACATTTGAGGCGGCGACGTATGGTTTGTGAAGATATTCGTCGAAGGCCAGGGATGTTTCTTGCAGTCACTGTTGCTGGCTGGAATCGATTTCGTAGACGTGTTGTTTGAATCCATGCTAAACAATGCATATGGAATCCCGTTAACGCACATGGAGAGTGAAATGCATGGGGCTTGCATAAAAGTAAACTTTTGCATAGAATGCATGCTTTTCTGATGCAGTTGCGTTTTTGTGACTTGATTCCACACATGTACTACAATATTGAAAACCAAACTTTACTTGTTTGAAAAATACACTTAAATATTGGTGTCACAGGAACTTTTGTTGTTGAGTATATGTTTGTGATCCATGAAGACTTTACTCAAAAGTTACTATTCACTGAAGATTCGTTAGGTATTCAACACTACTCCCTTGGGTGTTCAATCTATTTTGTATTTTTTAGGCAATGGGTAAACCTTTCAAACAATAATTCTGCTTAAAATGCTGTCATTTCGGGACTTCTAATGTGCATCATGAGCTGCCTAAAGTGTGCCACTAGTGGTATAAGCTCACAACAGTGATATATGTCTGTATGAGATACAATGAGTAAGACATAGAGGTTATCACGCGAGTGTGTTTGGGGATGGTAAATATCCTGCATTAGGAACAAACATTGTATTGCGAGCCTTGGCGAGCTAAATACATAGTGTTTATTCCTAATACAGAATGGCATGTTCATTCAGTGAGTCAGTGAGAGTGATATTTCAAGAGGAAGCAAGCAATATCTATTATACACTCTTATGATCTCTTAATCTATAGGTCGGTCGGGTAGCCTAGTGGTTAAAGCGTTAGCTCGTCACGCTGAAGACCCGGGTTCGATTCAGACATGGGTACAGTGTGTGAAGCCAATTTCTGGTGTCCCCCACCGTGATATCGCTGGAATATTGCTAAAAGCAGCGTAAAACCTCACTCATTCCCAGGTTTGCTGATTTCGTTATAATATTTTCTTTGTATTTGTGTTATTAGTATGATTAGTTTATGAGTGTGTCAATAAATTGATCCACCAGACTAAACTTGAATTTCATCATTACAGATACAGGAACTTGAGGACCGTGATGCGCTGCGTGAGAAACAAATCCAAGACTTGACGGAACAGAAACAGAAAGGTTGGATTTCTATAATCTGTTGGGAATATTGAAAACTATCATGTGGTGATACCAGGTGTTTGTGAAAAGGTGAGTCAAATGAGGGAATTGTGTCGGACATCAGTTTTGTCACTGACGCATCAAATTTGGAAATTTTCCTCCACTTGGTTACCATAAAGCTTTTTGAAAGGTTTACTGAGGCCTTGAACGTTGTAACCTTTATCAAACAACTTTTGAGCAAGAGTCAGATGACGGTCTTTGAAATCTTGGCAGAAAGAGCGTGGTTGATTGTACCTCAAAATTTGTAAAATATAAACACCAAAGGCGTCCTGTGTTTCTAATGGCGACAGAAAACGTCATTAACACTTCTAACACTGTACAGTAGACATGATACACCAGCCCTGTGCTTCTAATGGCGGCGGGAAGTGTCATTAACACTTCTAACACTGTACAGTAGACATGATACACCAGTCCTGTGTTTCTAATGGCGGCGGGAAGTGTCATTAACACTTCTAACACTGTACAGTAGACATGATACATCAGCCCTGTGCTTCTAATGGCGGTGGGAAGTGTCATTAACACTTCTAACACTGTACAGTAGACATGATACACCAGTACTGTGTTTCTAATGGCGGCGGGAAGTGTCATTAACACTTCTAACACTGTACAGTAGACATCATACATCAGCCCTGTGCTTCTAATGGCGGTGGGAAGTGTCATTAACACTTCTAACACTGTACAGTAGACATGATACACCAGTACTGTGCTTCTAATGGCGGCGGGAAGTGTCATTAACACTTCTAACACTGTACAGTAGACATGATACACCAGTACTGTGCTTCTAATGGCGGTGGGAAGTGTCATTAACACTTCTAACACTGTACAGTGGACATCATACATCAGCCCTGTGCTTCATTAACACCTCGTGGTTGAAGCCATGTATGAACAACCTTTAAGGAGAGAACTTTTCTATCAGTCCCTTGTCATATGCTTCACAAGTACCCCGCTTAGAAATATCAGAGATTAAGTTGGACACATACCGGCACATAATATTCGCGAAATGAAATACGTCTCTCCATCTTTTGTTTAGTTCTAAAAGTGATGTTAAGTTACATAAATAACTCAAATCTCCTCACTGAATCTTATCGCTGACAACTATACTTACATCTAGTAACAACCATCTCGAGCATCTCGCTCTTCACCCACTCGATTTGCGGGCGCATCATGTCATGACACGTTCAACGCCCAGTGATAGAGCAAAAAGAATATTGCGGGTTACCTAATAATTTACAGGAATGTGATTGACTTCGTGCATGTGAGACGGAAGACTGGCAGTTAATGCTAGGGGCACTCAGAGGTTGACAAACTCCTCTCCTCGTTACATGGCTTATATGCGGCCTTAGATTGAATTCTCTCAATCAGTGACTCACTATTAACTCAAATGTTTTACATCTGTCGCATAACTGACCTGCCATGCACATGCTTTACATATCGTTAAAAAACTATACTGTATGTCCGCCTGTAACAATGGCACACGACGTACCAAACCGAATCGTTTTGCTTCATTTTTCATTCATTCACAATATGTCCTTTTCGTGAAGGCACGCCCTATTAAAGGATAAAGGCATGCCCTATTACTATTAACTCAAGCTATTTCCAAGGGAAAATTTATACCTGCTTGTCAAAATGTTTCTACAGGACGATGATCTCACTGTCTCACGCTCATTATTGCGGTAAACTTTCTTACAAATGTCTTGCATTCGGGGTTAAACAGCTTACAAAAGTCGAAAAATTACCAAATGTGACATGTTATTGGCAATTGTTTAAAGAAATAGAAATGCATGTACTTTCTACTCAATTACCCATAAGGCATTATTTCAATTACCCACACATCCCATAGATTTTTCAGAAAACTATTACATATAGTTGAAAAGACAAACTGTTCAAGGGAGAATATGTTATTGCAGTAAGAGCATATGCCACCATACAGTGCGGGCGCTACCCGTAGGTCAGGACATGCTTATCCTTTTCGCGAACACCTGGTGTCATCACTGATTTTCAGTGCTAATTCACATAATCTGTACCGCTATTTGCCCTCTATCCAAAATGGAATCTGTTTCGGCGGATAATCTAGATTTGTTATTCTCTTGCATTGAGGGGGCGGTCGGGTAGCCTAGTGGTTAAAGCGTTCGCTCGTCACGCCGACGCCCCGGGTTCGATTTCCGACATGGGTACAATGTGTGAAGCCCATTTCTGGTGTCCCCCGCCGTGATTTTGCTGGAATATTGCTAAAAAGGGCCTAAAAACATACTCACTCATTCACTCACTCTTGCATTGACAATTTATATATTTGCTGTCACGAGTCTAGTTTGATCACTTGGCCTAGTTGGCCTTACCTCGATCGGCTCGATCGTTCGTTCCTGTAAATGGGGTAAAACACAAAGTAAAAGTATGATCTATAGTATACATTGAGAGGTGGTTCCTTGAAATGGCAGTTGTCCCGTGGAGACTTATGATATAGACACAATAGTTTTGTTTTCGTGCTAAATACATTAGGCCCAGTTGCATGGAATTTTGTCTGCCATTTTCATTTGGCGTTGATTTGGTTAACCAGTAATATAGACATTTTGCTAAACGGTGACATTTATCACCAAATACATTCAGCTTTAAAAGCGCCCGAAGAGTTAGAATAATTAATTTAACTCTGGTATACAGACATAGGGGTAGACGTCAGTAGTTTTTATATTTGTAGGGAAGTTGTCGAATGAAACACGTTCCACGCATGTGCAGTTCTTTATTACGATCGAAGCCGAACGCTGTCTGCAGATCCGTATTTTCTTACACAGACAGCACAGGGGGGTTCAGTGGCGGTGGACCCCCCTTGTTGAAACATTAAAGTAGAAAATTATTTTGAAGCATAAATGAAAATATTATCAATTGATTATTTATACGTCCTTCGTGTGATAAAGGTGCCTGACATATCTGTGAAAGGTATCTTTGTATGACACGCGGAGTGAGTGAGTGAGTGAGTATGCTTTTAGCATTATTCCAGCAATATCACAGCGGGACACGCGAAGTAACAAGAATCTGTGACAAGTCATAGACGGAAATTGATCAGCAAAAATCCTTCCGCCGCACATGTTTTGGGTGAGTTGGTTTAAACGCCGCTTTAAATATTATTGCAGTTATATCACGACGTGTCAGCTTAATGGGGAGCTAGGCCCGAAGTGATGCAGGTCGGTGAAACCCACGAGCACGGGTATGGTGCTGACAAACCTAGAAACATAATCGGGACGAACCGGGATTCGAACCCACAATCGCGCCCTATAGACGACCGGGCCACCCATGTAAACCGACAGACCACTTTACATCAGGCTCATCATTTTCAACTTCGATGTCTCCGAATCATCGCCTCCATCGTCTTACACATCATTGGTACCCACGAGTTCTTCAACCCACAATCCCCTAACCGCATTCACATAGTCATTCCAATTATTTAAATAAATGTGAATTCAGATTTAGGATAAGGATTTGGAGAGCAAACTTTCCACCGTTCTGAGTCCTGTTTCAAAACAATTGTTTGCCTGATAACTCGGAAGATAATGTTTGCAGTACCGCACTGTCGATAGGTTTCTAACGCCCTGTAGAAATATAGATTCTGATCATGGATACAGGAGTTATAGTTGTTATATGACAGACGCGGAAATAACCACACATGATGAAACATTGTCACCTTTCTGAGTTCCATTTTGAAAAAACTCGTCTTCCTGATTGAATTGTCAGAACCGCATTGTCAAGGGTTTTTTTAACGCCCTGTTTATATAGATAAATATTCTGATAATTGGTATATAGCAGGTATAGCGACCGTTCCGTCGCGCATATACAAAGCAGAATAAGATTGACACTTTCAGGAGAGTCCATTTGAGTAACATTTAGTCGCGTAAATACAGTTATCTTATTTATACAAAGGGACAGACAGACAGACAGACAGACAGACAGACACGGTTGACCCAGTCGTTTTAGGCGGCACAATTCGCAGTGAAGAGTTGCGTCCCCTGGGCGTGCAAGAAATCTATAATCGTAGGTTCGAATCCCAGCACTATACAATATTTCGTATTTTCCTCCCACATCAAGCTAGACACACGGTGGTATAACCGAAATACTGTTAAAAGCGGCGCGAAATAATAGTCATTCAGGATATCCTTTTTGACGATCCTTTATCGATAAATTACTAGTATATCAGATAACCAACGACTCTTTAACCCACAGATTTAGTTCCTACTTAACGGACTTAAGTATGCACATGTGTTATTGCTGTGACTGAGTTAAATACCTGGGCGCATTCATCTACAATCAAATTTCATGTTCAGTAAATTTTTTGAAAATAACCAATACGAAATGCAACAGCGACAAGGCAACACTTCATCACTATGTCAGCGGCCGACATGTTTTACAAATACAACATTCAAAATGGTGGCTACCGTCGCGATAGCTTCAATGCTATGTTTGCTTGTGATAAGGTTGAGGAACTGGTCAGTAGTTCTTGGTAATTTTCCGATCAAAACACAAACATGAGTTCATGGTCTGATGGTTCTTAACAAGCCAAAATGATGTCTCATGCAGGGCGAGGGCCAGGCAAGTCGGGCTCGACCAGTTTAAAAATATGTTCCCATGGTAAAGTGAGAAGTGCAGGCTTGCAGTCAATAGATCGAGTCGTTACAGTCAATAGATCGAGTCGTTACAGTCAATAGATCGAGTCGTTACAGTGATTGATGTCATGAGCATCGATCCATGCTGAAGACATACTTAATTTCTTAGGGCACCAACGCCCAAATCGAACAATTTTGTGACTGTTGTCGCATGGTTGGTTTGGTTGGTTTGTTGTTTAACGCCGCAATCAGCAATATTCCATCTAAATGACGGCAGTCTGTAAATAATCGAGTCTGGACCAGACAATCCAGTGATTAATATCATGAACATCGATCCACGCAATTGGGATCGATGACATGCATCAACCAAGTAAACGAGCCTGACCACCCGACCTCGCTTCTTACGACAAGCATAGTCGCCTCTTACGCCAAGCATGGGTTGCTCGAGACCTTATTCTAGTCCGGATCTTTACGAGGAAACAATGCTTTGTCGCAGGATAAAGTATTGTCGGTGCCTTTGATCTTTTAGGGAAGCATCTTAGAATAAAAATAAAGACATATTTTACGGACGATGATGAGGTAGATTTCTTTAACCAATGAAGTAGGCTTAATTTTTTACCTCAACATGCAATCTGAGACGAAATAAGGTGAGACTGTAGTAAGACTTCTAGTATCACTCCACACTGTATTATCTTAGAGTGATCGGCACAAGCAGCCGAGCGCCAAACTATGACATGCTCCTAACCAGACACGTCACACTGACGTCATAGCTCGCCCCTTCGCCAGTCAAGGCGTTTCTTGCGTTTTTTTGACTGGCAGTGGGACGTGTCACTCGTGTTAGGACGTAAACGGTGGGTAAGTTTTCCGCTTGTACTTCAGAATTTTGTTAGGAAATTAAATGAAATAAACATTGTAAATATTTTAAGATTGATGTACAACAGAATACATTTTGAAGGAATCAGGTGCTTGCTTCACACAATATCTACACCCAGACGTTTGTTTAGCCTGTCACCGGGGATAACAAACGTCTGGATGTAAACATTCATACTTCGTTTCAACTGAAAAGTTTGTTCTATTTTAATCAGTATATTGCATAATATATGCTTGTAAGTTTCATCTCTGAACTAATAACAATTATTTACAACTGGACTGAAGACTATATGAGATTTTTCTAAATCTGTTCAGTCAAGCGTCAGATGTGTTTTTTCGCTCATATTTTTAAAATGTTGTCCTGCATCATAGAACGGCCAAATGTGTCAGCCATATAATTTTTACACTCAAGGCCTGCAGCTTTGTTCTTCGAATCCGGAATATATTATCAGGAACAAATGTATTTTTGCATTGCTTTTGAAGAATTGCAAGGAAATGTAGAATATATAAGAGAAAATGTGCATGATTCTCATTATTTTATGACTAAGTTAGAACGGATGTTAAATGCGAAAACAATTTGGCGAATGTCACACGGGCAATCGGCATTTAAGTCTTATCACTTTATAGAGCCACGTGTTTATTCCCTTCTTTACACAACCAAACACCGTATCAAACATCTTGTAGTGCCGGCTACAGTTTCTGCCTCAGATAGTAAGCTGATCTGTGATGGATGTACTGCCGCCATCGCTCGGAATGCTGAATTATGACAGTGTTGCAAAGAATTTTCCTGACACTGAATTACCACTGTGTTTCACACACGCGTAGTCAAGTAGACCTGTTGCTCTTTTACAATAATTGTACATCATCATGAAAATGTCCTCACTGAAATATTAATCTGTAGCATGTCGAATATCGACGTTTGTAATACTGTGTAGCCCGAGACACCAAGCGACGTAAAATGGACCAGTTTCAGAGTCTAGTTAAGAGAGTGTTTGTATTGGGGAGGGTGGGGACTAAAACATCAAGCAAAGTCACTCGGAACAACAAATAATTTACGATAGGTCACAGCACTCTACATTTAGTAGCCTGTTATCATCAATTTGCAAAGGCAATATGTACACAGAGAAACCATCAAGACAGTAGTCGATTTGACGATGTAACAATTGTGTTAAATGCCCATTGTCCACAGACGTTGAAATGCACGAGAAATATATTTTCCTCCAGAATTACACTGGTGGGCGTCCTATCCTGGTCAAAATATATATAACGATGTGCATTGATTCTTACTCGCAACAAATACCTGAGTATAATTTAAATATACAGTAGTAATAACATAGCAGGCAATGAAAATTAGAAAACAATGTTCAGTATTTGACCTGTATGAGCGAAGTAGGTTTGCTATTCACAGTATTGATACTCAATTGCAGATATTATGCAACAACGCACCAACTTGCGGGGACCATTTCATTGTCATAACGATTCCACCCACAACTAACGAAGTCAGACTAAAATACTAATCATTCCATAATTGGGAATTAATGGTAGGTAGCTGATGTAATACCATGTTGTAAAGTTCCAAAATAATAAATGCACATATTCTGTGTATTCTGTGTACAGCAATATAAACTAACATGTTTAGTCCTTAGTCCTCATAATGGTAACATATTAAACCCTAAAGAATGACATATGTCTACTAGCCTAGTCGTTATGATATCTGAACTATTGGGATGTTTGGCAAGGACTACAGGAGGAGTGCCAATTTTTATCGCTGATGTAGTAATGTTCATTTATGTTGTATGTTGTATGATTATATTATTATGACAACAAAATAATCTATTCAGTTCATGCAACTTCAACCAAGAGAAGAGATATATCTCAGAAGTGATTCAATAAATAAAAGCAATATAAATCTAATAAATATAAGTGATTTCCAAAATTTGTCAGTCATGATATATGAATAATGCCTCTACTGCAACAAATGTATCATAAGTTAAGTTCATCAGTAAATTTGAAAGTCACACATTTGTTGAAAGGCAAAAGCTTCTCTGAGGCCAGTAGTTATAATGTTTACCTGCAATATATAGTTTTCTGAACAGCAAATATGGGGGTTTTGGGTGGAGGGTAGCCTAGTGGTTAAAGCATTCGCCCTTCGCGCGGAAAAACCGGTATCGATTCCCCCACATGGGTACAATGTGCGAAGCCCATGTCTAGTGTTCCCCGCCCAGATATTGCTGGAATATTGCTAAGAACCTGTAAAACCCAACTCACCCAACCCAACTGAACAGCATATTTTGTGTTTCAGGCTCGAGCGACCCGAGTCACGGAGAAAGGGCTGCACAGATGACGACAGCGACGACCCATGGTAGGTGGGAGAAGCCAGCAGGTGGTAGATACTGTCACTGTCCAACTTTGTACGAGATGAGGTCACATCAACATGTAACAAATATAAGCCTGAAAGTTCACTCCACAAACCTTCATATGAACAGTCTCTACAATAACAAGCTGATAAATGTAATCTCTTATCCTAATAATTTGAAACAAGTCAATTGTATTGGCAGTACCACCATAAGGCTCAATCCAACAAGCCTGTACAGACGCGTGGCTCAGATGAACAGCAATCTCAATGTTTGTGTTGTATTTATGATAGAATCTAGTCGTTTGAGTGACTTGTTAGTCGCTAGACCTTATATTTATACCTCTACTAAGATGAATGGTTTTGAAATTTTAAATACACAAACTTTGTCGATTATCTTGTATGTATAATGCTTATTTAGTTTGTATTGTTTTCTGAACAGCATGATGTGTGTTTCAGCCTCGAGCGACCCGAGCCAGACCGCGAGGACACCAGTGAAGACCACAAAAAAGCCTGCTACACAGGGTAGGTGGGAGAACCCAGAAGGCAGAAAGCCCACACTTTAATTCCTCCAACAATTAACAAGCTGGGGTATAGACCCGTGGGGGTTCTGACTTGCTTCTTGCATGTCATCGTATACCAGTTGTGTCGATCGGTGCTCATGTTGTCAACCACTGGACTGTCTGTCTGTACCAGACTCCGCCATCTTAGTGCTGGACTACTGCTGAGTGCGGCGTAAAACAACAAACAAACAAACAGACTGACAAACTCCAATGTCATGTCTTATAAGATCTATCTAATATTTCCAAACAACTGTACTGACAGTATCATCTCATAAAGCTCAGTCCATCAAACGTTGACACTCGCCAGCCACACACTGAATAATGTTACAACAACTGGAGGTGACAGAAAGATTTTAAACATTGACTACATAATCCTTGATTACATGAACCAGCTGTCGTCCTTCCCCTTGATCCTTGCGTTGTCAAGTGTTGGAAGTGGTTGATGACGTACCGTGTCACCACGTTGAGGTGTGAACCGTGTAGATGTATGACGGAGATGTCTGGATGTGTACAGAGTTTACTTTGTGTTACAGCGACTCCATCACCAGCAGACTGCAGGGACCTCTATGAAGCCAGCAAGGCCGGGAACCTGGAGAAGGTGAAGCGGCTCCTGTCTCGGGGCGTCGACGTCGATTGTAGGTGGAGGGGCAGGACACCAGTGATTGGGGCAGCATGGTATGGACACAGAGACGTGGTGGAGCTCCTGGTGGGTAAAGGGGCCGATGTGTCACTGGTGGACAAGGACGGTGACAACATCCTTCACTTCGCCTGTAGGGGAGGAGACTTGGAGACGGTGGAGTTTGTGCTGTCTCTGAACGCGGTGGACATCGACGCCAGGACCAACTACGGGCGGACGGCGGCCCACCTGGCGAGACGCTATAGATATACGCGAGTGGCGGATCTCCTCGTGTCCCGTGGCGCTCAGTGACGTCAGTGTCGTGTTTGTGTAGACGGTGGGGGAGACCTGACAGGGACGTGGTGTGCCGTTCACGTCGTCGTGTGTACATATGTCTTTATTTACGTCAAACTGTTTGTTGTTTTTGGATGTGAATAAAACTTGTAAAAACTTTGTCAGACATTTTGTCATTTGTTGTGTTTGGAACTTCGCATCATCAGGTAAGAAAATTGTTAACTGAGTGTAAATAGAGATGATGTGTGATTGGTATGTAAGCACCGCACCTCGTGATATGTTCATGCATGTCGTCATATATTTCTGTGTTAGTTTTACGCCATAAGTTTGTAATTAATCGTGAAAAACACAAAAAAAAAACCCTGTTTGTTTACATCTTGCTGAGTAGTATAGGTAATGATGGTTCTGGCTCACTTCCACTAGAGCCAGATTCATATACCTATACCATCACTACAGAGAGAATTTTTATGCCAAAATGATGATGCGATTCAATGATAGTCATGAGATTAAGTTAAATTGACTCCAGCTCACCACCACCTGGAGCCAATGATATAAATTTTTATAGGTAATGATGGTTCTGGCTCACTTCCACTGGAGCCGGATTCATATACCTATACTGCTACTACAGCTGGCATTTTTTATGCCAAAATGATGATGCGATTCAATGATAGTCATGAGTTGTATTAAACGAAACTTCAATATTAATTAGTAATGGATAAAATTTACTATAGCCCACGAGGATAATGGAAAGGTATAGGAGCAATAAAAAAATTAGCCACAGCGGCTAAGGTATCTAAAGATGTGGCCAAGGATTGGTTAAAGAAACAAGCGTTGTGGCAAATATATTTTCCGGCACCGCGTTATATACCGAGGAAGAAGTTTGATATTTTTACAACGAATGAAGTTCATCAGGCTGACCTCTTGTTTCTTCCCCACGATAAGGTAAGACGCAAAACGTATAAATACGCTCTAACAGTAGTGGATGTGGCTAGTCGATACAAAGAGGCTGAGCCATTAACCTCGAAAGAATCAACGGAGGTAGCTAATGCACTGAGCCGCATATATAAAAGCGGACCACTAAAATGGCCTAAGCTATTTCAAGTAGATCCCGGTCGCGAGTTTATGGGATCGATAACAAAACTGTTAACAAAGCACGATGTCAAAATCGTCCGTGGTGAAAGAGAGGCCCACCGCAGTCAAGCTATCGTCGAAAGATTTAACCGGACATTAGCGGAACGTTTGTTTGGCTATCAGTATGGGATCGAAATGAAATCCGAGCGATTGAGATCAACCGAATGGGTGACACGATTATCAGCCGTTGTATCAGCGCTGAATAATGAAGTGACGAGATTAATAGGGAAGAAACCATCCGATGCTATTAAAATGAAATCCGTGACTTCCGAATCTTCAGCACCGAGGAGAGGCAAAGAACGAAAACTTCCGGAGAGTAAGGGTAAGATATTTATACCAGGCAGGTGAACTCGAAGGAGGCCTACGTCGTGCAACCGATCCGATTTGGTCTCTTAAGACGTATAACATTAGTCGATTGGTTACGAAAGAAGGAGAGCCTATTCTTTATTATCTTCAAGATGGACCGGGTAGGGCATTTGTACGAGAAGAGTTGTTCATAGTTCCCGACGGTACGGTATTACCACCATAACCATAAGCATAGGTAGTTACACCATCATTATCAATCCATCTCTTTGTATCTAAGGGGGATAATGATGTCTTGTTCATTCTTAATCCATATATCCTATGATAGTAACTTCTTAAAGAGTTCATCTCATGTTTGAACGTTCTACCATTATATAATGATTCTTTATACCGTTCGTGTTTGATATGCTTTTTTACCACATACTTCTTAACGACCTTGGCTTTTCTTATCTCTCCATTATCGGACTTCTTTATAGAATACATCTTAGGTCTTAATCCTACATACTCCGCTATAGGGGTCCCAGCACATTCATCCTTCATCTTACCTAACACCTTTTTATTTACTACGCTGTGCAGTGGATTATCTTTTGGGTAATCGCTCGTGTCGTACATATCTATTTTTTCTGCCATATCTTTATACACATCCTCGGTTTTTATTTCCATCAACAAAGAATCTGTGTCGGTATATAAAACCTCGCATCTATCGCCGTATTGCTTCTTAAGTTCGTTGTAATAAAAGTCATACATTAAGTGTCGAGAATACTCATACCGACGTACACCGGTCTGTTGAATTTTATATTTCTCTTCTGCATATGCAACGCGGCTAAGTCGTTATCGAATATCTTGCTTCTGTTAAAAGCCGGACTGGCTATAAGTTTCCTGAGTCTTTCTTCCTCATTAGATCTGACTAATTTAACATCAACACGCTTCCTTAGATTCTCCATGGTTTTACCAAATACCGAGTTATTCATGAGCTTATATAGATTCTTTTCGAAATCGCTGGTAGCTATCTTTCTTAAATCTGTGTTCAACCTTATATAGGGCTCCATCCAAGGGCTTTGATCAAACTTTAGAACTCTGTGTATTTTCTTAAGTTTCATACCTAACGATAGATACAACTGGAGATTTCTGTAGTGAACTATATATTTTGTGTTTATCCATCAAATTTGGTACGAGTTTTTCTACGTTAGCTAACCTACTATTACCCATCAAGGAGCGTTGATATTCCGACATCCAATCTTTATTAACCATTAATCTTTCGGGAGCTAGCGGATAACTGTTATGGTCTTTATGTAACGAACTTGGATATTTCAAGTCAACTTCTAGTATGTACCCTTTATTCGCATCATTCACATTAATATTATGGATATCATCAATCCACTCAAAACCACCCGTGGGTAAAGGTTGACTCATAGCCCATCCGTACAAATTGTTAGCGTTGAGATATAATATATGCGTGTCGGGTTTACTCGGATCGTATCCTTCCACTAATTTATTATTAGCCTTAGAATACCTTTTCGCTGCCATCGATATACCACCTCTTAATCCTTTCTCAATAAACAAGTGCATATCATAATCTGTGAGTAGTTTTAGTTCTACGCCGGTCTTCTTCAACAATGCATCCCACGATAGTCCGGGACTGGAATAGTACCATGCCGGGTCCAAGCTGTATTGTTTTAAACATGTCTTTCTAAATATCTCGAATATATCGGCGAGTAACAGTACATTGGTTTTTAAGTACAGATCGTGATAATCGCCTAAATTCTTACAACCTAATTTATCCCAGACCGTCAGAGCGTGTTCATAATCGGCATCTGTTATTCTAGATTCCGTCAAGTTACTATAGAATGATTCGAGGGGTGGTAATTCAGTTTCTTCGAATCTAGACCAATCATCCATATATTCGTAAGGATATACACCTTTTCTCAGCAACAAATGACGAGTTATCTTATCGGTATATTTATTTGTTATCGCAAAGTCATCGGGATTGTTCGCATTAGCTAAATTGTCCAGGGAAGATAACAGAAACTGTACAGAGTCTATGAATCTAAGCCCATTACTTTGCTTTATTCTAGATTTCCCATCCTTGTCCCTATAATGTATAGGTTTAGTCAACGAGAACGATATGTATTTTTCCATATTGTTAGGAATGCACGTTAAACCGCCGTCGGTCTTTGAGATAGCTTGCATAATGAGATGTGAATCGTATCCCCTAAGGTTGTGAAACACCACGGGGATGGGTATTGTTTGAGAATTCATTTTTAGTTTCAAGTTACACTCGTTATGCGCGGCTCCCCGATAATTACCTGTGACGTGACAATGATCTCTTACGGAATCCCCATCCAGGGGTTTATTACAAACGTGACAACTCGTTGACTTCTTATGGACCCTCCAATCATCCCTCGTCATACACATGGGTTTCTTACACGATAGATTTTCCCTGATTATTCTCTCTTCATTTTGTAAATATTCTAGAAACTTTCCCGCTGCATCGGGACCTCTGTAAATCACGGGAGTGTTTGATTTCCCATCATACCTTACAACTTTATATCCAAACCCACAAGGAATATGTTCTTGAGTTTTGTACGTAAAACTACTATCTTGATTATTATGGTTGGTATTTTCTATGGGTTTGATAAGCGCTTCGAAGTCGGCGTAAATTACGTACGGTACTGGCATTTGATTACAATAATGTTCAAATTTTAATATATTTTTTCCCTCTTTAGGCATATCGATCCTGATAGCATTCTGTCCAACACCTCTACAGTCTTCTTTATGCGCTTCTAATAGATCTTGTCTGCTGTACCCATGTAGGCATCTTTCGCAGAAATATTTCTTTCTAGCATGTTTTGTTTGATCGTATAGTAGCCTGTTTAAACTCTTTATCCACGTATAATGATATTTACCATCTTTTTCGATCAGAGATGAATTGATTCTGGGAATATGTTCCGAAGCGGAGCTTATCCTGTGTACAACAATTCCTTTAGAATGTCCGAAAACATTTATAGCTAAATTATTTTGCTTTTCCACCTTATCAATTTGTGATATTGGTGTAGGTTCGTCTATACCATCGAAGTTGAGTCCATCGTTTTGAGGATAGCTAGAAGGTCTATCCGGATTTTTATCTACGGGGAACAATGCAGATCTTATCATCATTCTTAAACAGTCATTGCATTTATTTTTTACGTTAATTATGGCTTTTTTCTTCTTATAATACGGGGTTAAATCTATATAAGATCCACCTTTGAAGGGCATATAATTCGCTATATCTAAATATAAACTCGATTTTATCCACACCCCAACAGGAACCTCTATTAGTCCAGCGTTCTAAAGTTTCCTGTATTCTCTGAATTGATGTATCTAATGATGCGTTTATAGTATCGGTTTCGGTTATAACTACTTGATTGCTACGGAAATATGGTTCGGTATATTCGGTGCTATCGTCTGTGTTACTTTTACTCAATGACATTTTAATCGTCAGCTGGTATTTTATACTATGTAAATCATCTAACTCCTCGTTAACTTTACTCGATATGATGGGCTTAATATCATTAACATCCGTGTTGGAATTCATATCCATCTTCCAACCTCTTAGATATTTACCAACGCCGGCGGATATGGGTACAAATATTAATTCTTGTTGTTGTTGTTGAATATCATCATCATCATTATGTTGATTATCATTATTATCTAGTAAAGCGATCAATTCAGCTCTTCTCATTCGA